TTACAGTGATGAAAAACTAACCAAAAAGCCTTGTTGCTAAGCTCATTTCCATCTCAGGACTTCTGTAATGTTCCCACTAACCAGAAAGCTCTTTCTTCAGATGCTTGCATAGCTTGCTTCCATGTCTTCTCAGGCTTGCCTGGCCCATCTAATGAAAGATTCTTCTGTTGTTATTCTTTATCTTCTTACCCTAATTTAGTTTTCCTTAAAAACACTTAACAGGGCTGGGGATATAGCTCAGCGGTAGACTGCTTGCCTATCTTGTGTGAGGCCCAAGGTTCAATTCCTAGTGTAGGAGGGGGAAAAATGCACTTAACAGCTGGGTACAGTGGCACACACCTATAATCCCAGCTACTCTGGAAACTGAGGCAGAAGGATTACAAGTTGAAGGCCAGCTTGATAACTTAGTGAGACCACAATTCAAAATAAAAAATTTAAAGATGCTGGGAATGTAGTTCCGTGGTAGAATGCTCTTGGAATCAATCCCCAGTACTCTGGGGAAATTTTTTAACTAATTATAAACACTTAACACTTCTAGATATTATGAATTCTACTTCATTTGTTTATGATTTATCTCTAATAAAATATAAAACATAAGTGCCTAGAGGAAAATGTCTTTGTCTGGTCCATGATTGTATCCCATGGCCTACAATGTCTGGCATGTGGTAGGTGCTCAATGAATATTACTTAATAAATGCTGAATACCCTAGCAATATTTTACCAAACAAAATATAAATAGGAACAAAAAATAGACATACACTCACTTTAATCACAGACATAACATTTATAGGATTCCAAAATCTCTTAAAAGTTGAACCTGGGTTTAATTATTTGTCAGTATGTCATCCTTTGGAAAGGCTCATTATTCTTGGCTAACTAAGTCCCAAAAGCCTGTGATGTCTTTGCTAAAACAAGTCATTCATTCTCAAATTGCTGCAAGCCAAACTGATCTATTCTAGTTCAGCATAAATTTCTCAGAACTCAATGTTTATTTTTCAGTGTTTCAATGAGTCTTATCTGAATTGTCTTCATTGGTCACAAACCTCAGTTCATAGCGTGGCTTTTTAGATAACTATCATCATCCGTTCCTCCCTTATATTCAGCTCATCAGAGTCTCTGATGCTGGTAGATGAATGGATAAGCCCTACAGGACTTCAGGCTGGAATCTTGTAATTTTGTATTTGAGATGGGTCAGGTACAGTGGTATAAGGAGAGGAGTTCCAAATTTCAAGATGAGATAAACTCCTGAGTAAGCTACATAGAGGCAGGACTGTGTCTGTTTTGTTTCATCCCTCTCCCTTGCTCCTGTTACAGGGACTGGTGTACAGTGAACAGTCACTAAATGTTTATTGAATAAATGAACAGTAGTTAGAAAGGGAAAATAAGTTACCCAAAAATTAATGTAATACTACTGGCTGGAGAATAAAAATTAGTTGTGAAGTCACATTTAACTTACAGAAGATGAAACCTTCCTTGCAGTGTCTGTGATTGCTTGTTCTAGAGGTTTCCAGATCTGAAATGCATAGCGACCTAAATGGTAAAAGAAAGAAACGCAAATATAATTTTCTATAATCAATGTCAATCAATACCTTCAAGGTAACTAGCATGTTGTTTATTGTTAGTTTACTATTTTCAATAAATATTTCAAAATTTATAAAAACAACAAACAAAAAAACCAAACCCATGTTTTCTCAAATTTCTAATTTACTGAGGACAGAATTTCATTTTGATATCATTATCACAGCCAATAAATTTATCAAGTTGTAATTTATGACTCTAGAAGTTTTCAATGTTTACATAATATCATATTATAAAACTGGAAAAATAACATCCTCGTACTCTTTCTACAAAAGTCTCTTTATGTATAAAACATACTTATGATATTAAAACGATTAACAGAATTGCTTTTTACAATGATAATCACTTTGAAATATATAGAAAACCAATACAACTTATGATATACATGACATAGTGATTTTTTAATGAAGTTATCTCTAAACTAAAAAAAGCAATTATGCATGAAACATTTAACAAGGATGTCAATTATTGGTTTATTACTGAAGATGGCTACTCTCTCTAAAAACTTATTTCAGGTTTGCTTTTGTCGACATACAAATATTCAAACTTCCCCAGTTTTGAAAACCAAGAATTTATAATAAAACAGGTCCTAAACTGTTCTGAGGATATCAAACAAGTATAAAATATCATCTAACTAATTTACCTTTTGTATCCTATTGAGAACATGTGGCTTCTACTAGTGTGTCTTTCTTTAAAAGTCTTGCCAGAAAACAGTATATGACACTGTGAACTTAAATTCTAATTCTAACCATAAGCTTATTTGCAAATCAAGAGTTCCACTGGAAAACCTCAACTACCTAGATCTTTCAGAAGAACTTATCATTTGATTACACAATAGTATAAACTGTAGTTTTTAAATTACCCCCAAATTCTTCAAAACTACAATCAGGCACAGTGACTGAATTCCTTTCTCAGTGAAAAAGCAGATAAAAGCTTTAAGAAATGGAATCTGAAGTTTTCCTTTAACCATAAACTAGATGAGCTATTCCCCCCATCAAATTGAAGTGTATATTCTCCTAAATTGTACTGTTTAGTTTATTTGGCTCTGGAAGAGATCTGTTGTTGTAATTAGTAACATGAGTTTGGCAATAGTACAATCTAAGTTAGTGATTAAATTAGCAATTTTGCTTTTAATATTCATAACTTTTTTCTAAAAAGATAATTTTGACAGTGAAAGAAATTCTCCTGGGTTTTATTAAAGAAATTATACCAATATGCTAAAAGATGAAGTAATAAATCAGTAAATAACTGTGTTCATCAGAAGTAACTGACAGCTTAAGAGTATACACCCATCTGCAAGAAAAAGTGAGCATGGGAATACAAAGGAATTCCCTATCACTGAGATCCTTAGATTGCACTGAGACAGGAATTCAGGGCACAGAGAACAAGAACACTGAGGCATAAAGGAAATGCCTATGAGCCATTGGAATTTAAACAAACAACTAGCAACTAAGGGAATGTGCATCCTTGCCTGCAGCTTGAAGCTTGGCTGATGAAAAAGCAACAAAACTGCAAGATACCTAAAAAGGGCACTGGAAAGAACCAAGAAGCAGGCTTAAAACATGCAAGGGCACTTTAGAGCACAAAAATGTAATTCTGTTCTGACTCTACCTTAGTCTAGCCCCCTAGCTACTCTATAAATATTAGAACCCTAGAGCAAGATTTGACTCACTATCTCACTCTAAAATTTGACTACACTCTCTCTTTGTTTTTGCTTTCCAATAAAGCTCTCCCTTTTTGTTCTACAAGCTGACTCTTCCTTAAATTCTTTTCTGCAATGGAGTCAAAAATGTGGAAGGTTTGCGGTCTCCTCTGCATCTGGAGAAATCTCGGACTCCATACAGTGATAGCATCATATCAAAGATTTCTTGTTATTATACACTATAGCTCAATTTAAAGAAAAAGAAAAAAAAAAGCCAAGAACACCAGCTATTACTAGGACTAGCATTCTTAGCACATACATCATCAATTTTCTTCACTACAGTTTACCTAGATTTTGTTTTACTGACTAATGTTTAGCAACTATAGATGGTGAAAAGAATGAAAATGTATAATGTTTGAAGACCAAAAATGTCAGAATACAAAGGTCCTACTCATCAATCAAAGTAGCAGCTAATTGAAAATCCTATTCCTACAACAAATATTGACATATATTCTTCATTTATCTTACCTGCAAATGCAAGAGCTGCAACACCCAGTCCTACAGCTATCAAACTTCTTGCCTGTGGAGGAAGAAATATGATAACTTGTAGAATTACATACTGTGAGAAACACACTCACCTGTCTAACACCAAGGAATGAACTGAGAAGGTACAGAGAAAGTGAGGCTTTAGTGACAGTCTTGCAAGATCAGGTGTCTGGTGCTCAGGCACACTCAGAGCAGTTATAATTAGCACTATTCCCTCCAGGGCAAGGTCCCTCCTCTGGTTCCTCATTGGTTGAGTACTAGGGGGTACACAATCTTCCCAAAAGTCACTTAGGTTTTACTGTTGTTTAAAGAAATATGCCTTTAGTTGTTTCCCTCTCCTTTTATATTCTTGTGGCACAAAAGTCTTCTGGGATTGAGTGCCTTCTGGCAGATAGGCAGTTGGTCAGGTTGTCCCTTCCCTCTCACCTCCTGTTTGTTAAGGAGCAGTGAATTTTTCACACTCCAGTGTTACCTACTTTAATTTTCCACTCTGCTCTCCCTTTCTGCTTCTTCTTTTTCTTCTTTTTTTACATTCCAATTTCACATTTAAGGCTAAATAATGAATTCTGAAAATGGTCAATTAGACTTTCTGTCACCATACTAAGTTTTAAAAGAAAATCAATCATCTTAAATAATGAGGATAATTACATTAAATACTAGATTTTCTTCACACTCTACTGTGAAGAACAGAACTTAAAATCTACAGTGTCTAAGGAATTATATCTG